AACTAATTAAAAAAAAATGTAATAAAGGTTTTAACAAAGCTCTCTCGGTAAATTTTAAAACACTTTTTTAAGGCAGAAAGGAAATATTTATTTCCATATAGAAAAAAAAATTGATATCTCGAAAATGATTTTATATTGTGAATGTTTTAAAGTGACTATTATTAATCTAGAATAACAAACCTGAGACATTTTCCGAGAACTTCTCTTATAAACCTAGGCTTAGGATGTTCTGGATCCAATTGGATGCAACCTTCCCAATCCTCCCACGACCAGCGGTACTGGAAGTTACTCAAGTGGTATGCAAACCAGTTCACAAATCTGAAAAATAGACATGAAAAGAAATAAATCAACCACCTCAAATTGAACTCCATGGTCTCTGTCTACCTTACTGGCATGAGTTATGTTATATATGTATAATAGTAAAACTGTACTTATATAAGTGAGATCTAAGTGTAAACTTTAAAGCAATAAGATATATTATTGCATGCTAAATTAAATTAGAAGATAATTGGGACAATTACAAAAATAAAGTATTCTCTATTGATAATTTCTTATTTTAAAAAATAAAAATAAATTGCACATATACAAACCTGTCAAAACAAGCAATATTCATTGTGTCAATTCTCATGAACAAGATCTCTGTAGCCTGAGCTAGTACTTGAGGCATAGTGGATGGTTGCAGTTTACAGAGTTCAATAAGAATCGAACCATAACAAATCTCCAAGTATCTTGGCACTGGCAGGTTAAATAACTCCGCAAACATAACCTCTACAATACAATATTCTAAGGGAATCTTCGCTTTGTATGGGAAACATAGTAGTTGAGCTGCACATTCCTTTCGTTCTAAATGGTATGCTTCTATAATGTTATGTAGATGCTCTTCAATAAGAAATCTCTCTATGGAATGTGCTCCAGGTAATACTGGACCATCTGGGCAATCGGTATAATCAAACATTCTAAATATGACTCTAGGCATGGGGTATGTATCACCCTCATTATGTGGTGGAGGCTGGAAAAAATAAGGATTAAAACTATAGATATGTACAAAACACTCAATATATTACCATTATCACTTGAATGATAGTAGCATTTAATACTTTCTCACAAATATAACATATTAATTAACTACTTATTGGAAGAAAGTCAGTTGATTATAAAAAAAATATATTATTTGAGGAAAATTTGTTTTATATTTTATTGCAAAATATTTTGGGTACAGTATAACATTATTTTACATACCTGTATACTAGGAAGAGTATGTTGCAATGCTTCACAAAGTATGGAATCAAATGCAAGATAAGGTCTGGGAATATGTTTCTCTGACCAATTATCCTGTCTCAACTTTTTTATTTGGGCCCAGAGACAATCTAAATATTCTTCTTGCAAGTGTGGTGAGTCAGCTGACCATACTTTTAATGCTGGCCAATGTTTCTTACTTCTTTTGTTTAGAAACACTTCTATTGTCACTAATAAATGATCTAATTGAGATTCTTTCTTCTCATACAATTCTCTACCAACCCAAGGTAAAGTGGACAAAACAGCAAAGACAAACCAATCTCGCCTGACCTGAGGGACACCATCTTCATTAGCAGAATCAACTAATGTTTCTAGCAAAGTTAGTAAGGATGATGCGGCCAGTACATGACAATTTACTAAATCAGAAATAAATCGTAGACAGTATCTTGCAGCGTTCCACTTGCCAGTCTTCAAATTTTCTTTGAATGTCTTCACAATGTAATCCACGAATTCACCACCAAAGTTATAATTTTTAGCATTTAGTAAACCAACCAATGTCGCATATATTGTACATTTTTCGGGCATACGTATAGCGCAATCTGTTAAAATACGCAGAATCTTTACGCGGAAAGTGCTCAAGTCGGCTTCTAAAACACTTGCTAAACCTTCAAGATTACTTTCTAAACTTGAACTACTTTTCTCACCAACTCTGAGAATTAAAGACTCTAATCTATCTTCAATTTCTTGGTTCTCCGACACACGACGCCTTTTCCGATGTAGACGATCTGTGAAATTAATATTTTGTGTTGTAACGATACATTTTACAGTAACATTTTGTTTACACATAACCTATTTTTTTTTTGTAATATTACCATATCCATCTTCTTCTTCATGTCCACGTCTTCTATTCATAGTTTGAGATAAGTTAAAGAAGGAACAAATATAAAATAATCCTTAAATTATCCTTATTTTCAATCACTAAAATCGAGTAATATACGTCGACAAAGAAGCAAAACCAATAAAACGAAAATATCGTTTCACAGACTATACTATTTCATGACATTGACATTGTCATAGATGTAGAATTAAAATTGCTTAAAATTATCAGGATAAATCGTGTATAAATCAAATTTAATATACCTGAACATTAAGGATTCATCAAACTGCTCATAATACAGAAAAATACACCTCAAATTATTTCGAAAGACTTGGGGGAAAAGTCGAAAATAATATTGACCAACATTTTTACAATAAGCAAGATGCCAAGATACTAATGTCCTCTATTATTATGTCAACCGGCTGATTTGTGTTTATCTATGGTCGTTAAAAGCTTCAAAATAAAAACAGCAAAAACTTTCATTTTATTCCGATTATTTATAAAATGTTAGATTATAAGTAATAACTAAGTATAAATTTACTTTAGAATTCGCGTCATAATAAACAAGCGAATGAAAAGTTGTAAAAATGTCGTGTAATTATGCAGAGGGATTGTCTCCCTACGAACATAAAGGTGTTCTCGGTATTCCTGAAGTAATTAGACTAAATTTATATAGCTTATATGATAGTCTTGCTTACTTTTGCTTTAATCATAACGCAACATAACTGTAATTAATTGTTTCATTCAGAAATTTGAAGCTATCGAAAAGTTAAATGAGAAATGTGAACTATTAGCTCGACTGATTTCGGAGAGTAAACACATTGTTGTACATACAGGAGCAGGAATCAGCACCTCAGCAGGAATACCCGATTTTAGGTAATTATGAAGATAATTCTAATTGCGGAATAAACCTAATTTTTATATTTATTTATATGTTTTTTATTCACTGTGTGAATTTCATGATTTTAATCTTTTCTAGGGGGCCTAATGGTGTTTGGACACTAGAAAAAGAAGGAAAACGTCCATCCACTAATATATCATTTACAGATGCAAAACCAACAAAGACACATATGATATTAAAGAAATTAATAGATTGTAACAAAATACAATACATTGTAAGTCAAAATATTGATGGACTCCACCTTAAATCGGGATTGTCACGAAAATATTTATCAGAATTACATGGTAACATGTTTATTGATGAATGCAGTTTATGTAAAAGGTAACAATTATTTACAAAATTGTTAATTCATTGCTACAAATATTTTTTATATATTATTCAAAAACTACTAAAACAGCAGCTATTCTTAGCTATTCAACACCAAAAAGGTAGCAATGTTTTTTTTTTTAAATTATACAATATTTATTTTCCAGGCAGTTCATCCGTAGCAGTCCTGTAGAGACAGTTGGCAAGAAGTGCAGTGGAGTGCCATGTGCATCAGGACATAATGGTGGCAGACCATGCAGAGGTCGCTTGTATGATGGTGTGTTGGACTGGGAACATAGTTTGCCTGAAAATGATTTGCTAATGGCTGAATGGCACTCAAGGTATGTGTTTACACTTACAGGTTAGAGTCTTAATAGAGAAATCTTTATTGTGAGTTTAAAAAATCTTTACACTCCTAAGTAAATGTGATTATAGTGTAAGACATACATTGGTACCAACTGGGTTTTGTTGTACTCATAGTAATTAATTTTCCAGTATTGCAGATTTAAGTATTTGTCTCGGCACCACATTGCAAATCATTCCAAGTGGCAATTTACCTTTGGAGACTGTGAAGTATGGCGGAAAATTAGTTATATGCAACCTGCAACCCACAAAACATGTAAGTAACTACTATGAAAAATTATGGAGATATGATAAATAAGACATAACAAAAATTTGTTTCATTAGAATTTAGCTAATTTAGGAACAAGCAAATGTTTGAGTGAGTTACCAGAAAACTTGAAAACGGCTAAGCTGATCTATTTAATCTGGGATAGGAATAGACACAGTCTGGAAAAGCATAACTGTTTTTTTTAATTCTGCGCCGACGTAGTCGCGGGCGACAGCCAGTGTGATATTTAATTCATAACATTTAACTATTGATTATGAATCAAATTGTTTTTATTACTTTTTTTTTCAGGATAATAAAGCAGATCTCATAATAAATTATTATGTAGACGATATATTAGAGAAAGTTATGAATATATTAAATTTAGATATACCACAGTATAATGAAGATACAGATCTGACAAAATTAGCTTCTACAAGTATTGTTGAATGGACTATTAATAAAAAAGATGTACTTGTATTGGAAAAAGTGTTCAAAGCAAAGTGTAAAGGTGTTAAAAAGAAGAAAATATTAATAAAAAATAAAAGAAATAGTACAGAAATTAATAATGGTATAGAAAATGGTAATTGTAAAGTAATTAAGTTGGAAATTAAGGATGAATGTGTATGAGTTAAGTATGGTTAACTTTAATATTTAAGTAAGTGATTACTCTATCATGTGATTTTTTTTAGATGAACAATTGTAAGTAAGCTATGGAAATTAATTTACTAGATAATAAAATACTCCTTCTAAATATTTTTTTTTATTTAAATATCAAAAACATGAATTTGGATATAATAAAAATAAATGTACAGTGGCCGCCATTGATGCTATTATACTAACGAATATGATAACCGCCAATGTACGCGACTGTACATTTTTATGTCTATAAAAAAATATTTTTTTCAATTCAAAAATATCACTATCCCTTCTAATCTTTATCACAAACAACAGAAAAATTATAAAGTTAATTTATAAAATCCATATAATAACATAAATTAGGTCTATGACTAAAAATATCAATTATTTTAACACTAATTTTCTATATAAAATATATCACAATATCTTTGTTTGTTGTTTGAGACTGTTTTTTTTTGGTATTCATAATCTTTTTTTTTTTATTTCGATCGTCTTTACATCGATACATCACTTGCATAACAATAGAAAACTTTATATATCCATTGAAATCCCAATAGTCAGTTTTTGTGGATCGGAAAGTGTTCAAAGTGTCTAATATTCACCAATGATACACTTGTATGAAAAATATAGTCATCTGTTGATCAAATGTTTTACTATAAGTACAGTTGAAACTAGATACTGACAGTCCAAGGAACCATAAAATTTGTCTTGCTTATAGAGATTGCCCTCTAACAGAGTTTCTCGCTTATGAAGGTCGTTTGTTGGGACCAGACGATGAATCACCACCAGAGGTTTCTCAATTATTCTGGTTCGACTGTACTATTGTGGAATTTCCTAATAAGTCTAAGTTGTAAATCAAGGAAATGACGTATCGAAATTTAAAGAATAAAAATCATGAGAGAAAGCTAGTAGCTTGGAATGCTAATATTGTAACAAGAGGTAGAACTAAATTGTCAACTTGATCTGTCTTTGCTTCTACTAGCGCTGACGTAGTCGCCGCGAATACACTGCGGGTTAGTGCGTTTGGAACGTCTAAAAAATCTGAAAAAAAAAAATTATTTACATCTGTCGAAAAAGCTAGAGCTTAGTTGGAATAGTACCAAAAATATAAGTAAATTTTAAAAAAATATAATTATTTAAAAAAAAGAAAGTCATGTTGAGGCTTACCGAAAAACTGCAGTAAATAGACAACAGCAACTTGTGATAAGATATTAAACGCTGTCCCTTCTAAAGTCCGGTTATTATCTAGAGAATTTACAGACTTGAAATAGATAATTGTTTACAGAATAGGTATATTTATATTTCAAATATAGATTCTAAGCCACAGATAAAAAAAAACATTAAAGCGATAAATAAAACCTTTTTAAAGCTTTATTGGTTTGTCGAACCCCAATACCATAGAACCTATTTGTGGATTGGTTTAAATATGACAAACGAACCTGACCAACGATTCCTTCCAAAGGTAGCTCCGGCACAACTTGCTGCCGTATCTCCTATACCAACCGCTAGCACACCAGCCAGTAGGTCCAGACTGACGGGCTCCGGAGCCAGGACTATAGGACACGCTAGACCCACGAACAAATACAGCGGAGTCATAGCAAATGTGCCGCTGTCCTGGTAAAGTTATGGTATTTTCAAATTTATTACAAAACACACTATGATTATTGGGATTACTTCTGGCTGCTATAATTCGCATTAACACAAATAAAAAAATATAGTTACTGTAATTTTTTTTTATAAACATAATATTTGTATTTTGTACAAATGTTGAAACACATTGTTAATACACATAAAAAATTTATGTACACAAAAAAAGGCTTACCTTGTCATCACAATAAACAACAAAAGCTGATTGAAGTGTGGGTGAGATTGTTTCAATTTCTGCTATTCTTAGAGCCTGGAAAAAATGTTGAAATTTAAAAATTATAATTACAAAATGTTGGAACAATAGCAAATACTTCATACTTATGACTAATATTATATATACGAAAGTTTAGCTGGTTGTATATTTGTTAGGTTTCACCAACGGAACAATGGATCTCCTTGAAATTTGGCATAATTTTAAAATATAGTCTGGAAGAAGTCGGGCAATAGTTCTGTTACTGAATACTGTGAGATACTATGATCAAACTCTAATTTACATTTAAAAAAAATATATCATTATAATTTACCTCGACAAACACTAATAAAGAAAAACCAACTCCAGATGCCAAGGTCATCAATGGTATATCAGTTAATAATCCACTCAGGAACACAATAGAGGCCAATATATGAAATGTCTTCCTTGTAACCGTGCTTGCCTTTGATACGGTTCTTGTTTGAATTAATATCAGAAGTATTGATATCAATAATAATGACAACCAAAACATAAACAATTTAAACTGAAATAAATTACAAAGCTATACTAATAATAATATTATAATGAGGAAATATTTGATTGTTTGTTTGTATTGAATAAACTCAATAACTACTCAAATAATTTGTAAGATTCGTTCACTGGGGTTCACTTCATCTTGACAAATATGGACCATGTATTAGTTAACTATTTGACCAGGTTTCTGTTAAGTCCTGGAAAATTCCTTTAGGGACTAAGGTCTCTCTCTATTACTGTAGGGTGAGCACTGACGGGAATTTAATGATTCAAGTTACACATTACCCCACCATACAAAAAAAGACATTCTTTAGACTTTGAAATAAATACTTTCTTTATCCAACAAATATTTAACTCCTGTGTAGTTTATTAGTCAAAGTTATATAAATACTTACCCTTATGTTATCCATGAAAATATATTCAAATATATCAAACAAGCAATTTGATCCCAATATGATATGCCATTTTATAAGTAAAACTATACCACCCGCTGTTACAATGGATACTAAAGAGGTGGCAGTTCTATGTTCAGCATTTAACATGAATATTGATGTTATTATCAATATTGTTGTTACTAATACTGTCTGAAATGTGAAATCATTTTATTAATACTGGCCAGTTTGAAATGTATTACTGAAACATGATTTAAACTCCTTGGTTATAGTTACTTATACAGGCTGGAAAATATATTTTTTTGAAAAAAAATATAGATTTTAAATTTGGAAAATCCTCATATTTAATTAGGTTTTTTTTATATATGCCTGTGTACTACTGTGTAGTACTTATAAGTTACACTACCTAAAGAAAAAAATATTTTTAAAATACTTACAAATACAATAGTATTTATAAATGAAAATTCTTCATTAACACCATTTAACAGACTTTGTATATATTGAATTGATGTTGCGGACACAAACAGTGGTATACTTTGAACAACCACTATTGCCTCTCCCACAGTAAATGTTTTGGGAAAATTTATCAGAACAAATTTTAATAAATAACTAAATGATGACACACATGATATTGTTATGACTAGAGATATCATTAAATCTGCAAGTAAAAGATAATATATACAGACTCAATGTCACAGACAAGTTTAATTTAATTTTTTACAGACAAAACACATACCTTGCTTTGTAAATATATAAACAAGTATAGTTGATATTAAACTACATGCCACACAACCTCCATAATCTCCCTCCATCATTATGTTACCAGATAGTGATAGGAAGAGAATAAAAAGACTACAGTGAAAAAATAATCCCACTGATATGAATGCTACTGTTTGATATAATACACTTGTATCATACAAAATAGTATAATTTAGTAAAATTAAAGGTAAAAGAATATAACACCATAGACCATTACTTTTTGAAGATCTGAAAAAGAAACAGAACTGATTAAAAATAATTTTAAAAAGGAAAAGTTATTAATAAAATATTTCTCGTATCTTACCTTGTTACAATACCCATTGCCCTCAGATTATTAGATATATTTTTGTCAAGTGATTTAACATAATGTTCACATAGTTTACAGTAATATCCATTAACTAATTTTCGTATTTCATCCATTATAATATCGTTTTAAAATAAACAAATAACGTTCAATTTGAAATAAAAAGGCTTTTCAAGTAAAAAATAATACTGGAATAATTTATTAGTGATATATTATTATATTGTGATAAAATGACACAAATACAGTAGTTCAAAGTTCAAAATTAAGGAAAAACAAATACATTATCAAAATATCAATTAACCGGCATTGCTCCGTGGATGAAATGACGCTGTCAACTGTCACTGTCAACCTGTCAACTATCAACAACGTCTTTTGTCATAATAACTTGATGAAAATAACGCAGTTATAGCAGCAGTTAAATCTATATAGCAGTTCGTTAAGTTATATTAAACTGTTCCACCAAAATTCAAAGCCGGCTTCCGACATTTATCTTTCGTTCTAAAACATATGAAAATGGTTAAATTTATAAAAAACAAATACCAACATTTTAGTTTTACTAATAATTTAGTGCTAGGATACTAAGTTCGTCTTCAGAGAACCTAAAGGCAGCTACGTTTCAGTTCTGTTTTATTTTTGCAACATAAAACGGAACAAAAAAAGTAGGATGTTTAAAATACGTTTTTATAAAGCAGCTATTTTTAAGTGACCGTTATATAGCGATATGGTATAAACTAAACGTAAATAATTAAAATCAGTTTGTTCGCGGCATAGTGTGTGGGTGGTGCTGAGTGTATCAAAAGAAAAAAAATAATAAGCCAATATGCTACGAAATTTTACCAAAATTTTACAAGTTCAAAAAGCAAAATTGTCTGCCGCTGCTGCACCGGCGCCTCAAACAAACCCAGAAATATTATACACAGGGGTAATTATTTTCCCTATACAAAACAAATATAAATTCCGGTATGCTATATTTATAAGTACTCATAGGTGATACTACTTTTACAATTCCTGCGTGTTTTGATATTTATCGTATGTTTAGTAAGTTGTCTAGTTGTGTAGGTCTTGTTATATTTATTTTAACAATCTGCAAACCTGCGTTTTCCTTATGACATTATTCATCATGTTTTGTATATTGTAAAGATTTTTTTTTATTTAATCAAATTCTTTGGTGTTAGTATTGGTGAACTAACTATATTTTATTTAATTTTCATATTTGATTTTAAAAAATCTACAAAAATTAAACACATAGTTTTCTAAAGAAAACATCTTTCTTAGTATTCTTATTTACAATTTGAAAACTTTCTGTCTGCACTAAATCTTAACTGAATTTTACAGTACTAATAATAATCTTGTTTTTTTATCCATAATTTTTTATTACTTTTTTAAGATTTTTTTTTACATATTAATTTTATTAGTATTAGTATACCTTATTCTAATGCAGGGTAACTTCTCGAAAAAGAAAAAAAATATAATGTATTTATGTCGTAATGAAAAATCCAACACTATGGTGTTGCAAAACCTATAGCCCCTAATTATTAATAATATTTTTCATAGCTTTTCATCAACAATGAATGGGTGAAATCATCAGATGGCAAGACATTCACAACAGAGAATCCTGCTACAGAAAAGGTGATAGCAGAGGTGCAACAAGCAGGGAAAGCTGATGTGGATAAAGCTGTGAAAGCCGCTAAGGATGCATTCAAGTATAAACATTGGATTTTTTTTTTTACCTTTAAAATATCATACCTCTTCAAAAAATAATGTTACTTTTACCAATACATATTTTCTACAGTGGTTTTATATTTTAAAATTTAAATTTATATTTTCTCTCATAGAAAACCTCATAATGCCTAGTTCTTTTATCTAAAGTGGGGTCTACCTTATGAGATGTGAAGTGATATTATTTTAAAGTAATGCTAACTGGCATACTTAAGTTTTGTCTTTTCAAAATTTAATTGGTATATTAACAATGGCCCGTAACTTTGTCTGTGTGGAAATAAAAAATCTGGTATCAAATATAGCCTTTGTCATCCCAACAGTAAAATAATTTATAAAATTGGTTCAGTATTTCCAGAGCCTATTCAATGCAAGCAATTCAAAGATATGTGTGAAGTCAACCAACTCACACTTGTCCAGCGTGGTTGACTATGGCCTAATTATCCTTAACTTATGGTAGGCTCCGAGCCCCTCGGTGGGGACGTATCTTGAGCTGATGATGAATCGAATCTTACTTCTTTATAATATAAGTATGGATAAATAAGCTAAATGGTTGTAGATTGGGGTCACCTTGGAGGAGGATGGATGCTTCAGAGAGGGGTTACTTGCTTAACAGACTTGCAGATCTTATTGACAGAGACAAGGTTTATATAGCCGTAAGTACAATTTTTTTTTATTTACTATTAAGTGTTAATTTTGAAAAGTTAAGTATTTTCTCAATTTGCAAAGGCATAAGAAAGACAAGCATTGTTTTAAAAACATAAACAATATTATATAGACAATAACATTTCATTTTTTGTCTGTATATTGTGGTCAGATGTTTTTAAACAATCGGAACTTACGATGAATTGTTATCATGTTAGTATAGCAAGCGATATAGGATGTTAATTTCGTTTTAAACATATAGATAAAGAATTATTTAATTTATTTTAATTATTAATCCATTGTATATATTAGGTTACAATAGAATATATAAAGGAATTTCATACATATGTAATTAAAGTTAATAGATTAAAATAAAAAGATTAAAAAAAAACAATTCACAAAAAATATGTTATAGTAACAACAAATTGACTTAATGAGTACAAAACGGCTTGTTATGCAAAAAAAAAACTTGATTTGCATAACACGCGAAAAAATAAATATAATATTTTCTGCTGTAGTAAAATATAATGTTTTTCGAGCTAACATCTGATATTAAGAACTTAATAAATATTTTAGGTGTTATGTTTTTTCATATCATGTGCATGTGTATTACGATTTCGAGCGTTGGTTTGTTTTCAAGGTCAAAATATTTAAAGCTTTATTTTCGTCATCTTTCGGAAACACTTTTTTCGGTAGTTAGGAAATAATAAAAATTAAAAAGATAACAATCGTATGCCCCTGAATATATAAAAATACAAAAAAAATTTACTTAAACTTTCTTAAATTTTCGACGATGCCGTTCAATTCAATCAATCGCAAATCGAACATTTTTTTTTTAATTTTACGCCTTTTTATTGTAGCCACTTCCGGCACTTACTGCAATTGCATCAACCGAATTACCATCAAATAATTCTAATTATTCTAGAGCTTGGAGACACTTGACAACGGCAAACCGTATACCGCGTCATATTACGGTGACGTAACGGCTTCTGCCAAGAATTTGCGCTATTACGCCGGCTGGGCAGACAAGAATCATGGATATGTTCTGCCTACTGATGGCAATTACTTCGCTTATACACGCCATGAACCTGTGGGTAAGTTCTACATCAATTTTCAGATACAGGCCACGATGTTTCTTTATTTTGCTGTATCATCATCTCTTTCGATTTTTTAGATAACAAGGAATTCGCACAAACACATCCAGACTAAAGCAGGATTCCTTATCAATGTATTTGATTTAGTTCAATGTATACGTGTTTATTACAAAAACAGCTGTTGCCCGCAACTTTGTCCGAGCGGAATTAAAAAAAAAACTTAATAATAATAGCCTATGTGTTCTTCCAGACTATGTTCTATATCTATGCCAAATTTTATCTTGATCCATTAAGCCATTTTAGAGATACCTTGTAACAAACATACAAATATTCGCATTTATAATATTAGTAAGAAGTAAAGATAGATACGTCTGATGGGTTCTTATCAATACAAATATTTGTTTGAAACACATTCAAGACGATAAGATGTCAATACAGGCCGAAAAGACTAATATATTTTTTACTCGATTGATAAACGGTTATTTAAATTCAAATTTGGAACAGTATTCACGAGTTAGTGTCCATTGCAGAAATACATACAAAAACATGTTGCTATTAATTGTACAAGTGTGTCGGTAGTGAAACCTTGACATTAAAAATAAGTTCAAGGTCAATATCAAATTAATACACTGATAGTCTATCACGAATATTTTCGATATGCGTTTTCGTAACGTCGACAAAATATTTCAAAGTTTGTATGAGTCTAATAATAATATAATGAGTATATTTTTGTTGATGTTATGAATACTTTCATGCTTTTCATACTAGGCCTTCTGTGATACATTACATATCGTTCTTTGTAACAATTTTTGTTCAATTACTAACGGAATTTAAAAACTTAATAAGCTGTCTACGCGTTCTCCCAGACTATGTTCTATTTCTATGCCAAATTTCAGCAAAATCCATACAGCCGTTATGGAGATACCTTCAAACAAATATTCAGCCATCCTTCCATCCAAACAGTCGCATTTATAATATTAATAAGATTCCTAATTGCAGTTGCTTAGACATTGACGACTTTAAAAAAATCTAAAAATAATTACATAGAAAAGCTTAAAAACATTCCTGAATTAAGTTTTTTTAACATATTATAAGCATTCACCATAATAGCTTACTAAATTGTCAAAACACGTTTCGTGACCGCGTAATCGGTCCAGCAATGACTCGGCAATTTTATTCTATTCTTACGTAATATAACATCAAAACATACGAACTAAAATACAGACATATCAAGGTCAACTTTACATATTCCTTATCGCGCTTAGCTATTCTAATTAAAAACTGTTGCATATTTTGTTCGAATTCAAATAGTAAATGTTTTCGTTATAGATTAACCGCATCTTCTTTATTGCTTAAAATTGTTTTACCTAATAAGTACCTATCTAGTATAAGTAGCTACGTTTATTCAACTTTGTGTCACCATTTAAAAAAACCTGTTCAAAGATATACCAGCGAATTTAAAAATGGCCAATGTGCTGCCTACCTTTAATAATCAAAGCAGGCGACTTAAAGGGAACATTCAACCATCCCGTGCGTAACCCTCTTCCGCCAACATAACCCTTTTCATTCTTGTCTTACAAGAAAATTGTAAGAGCAAGGGCTTCTATCAAGTCTAGATTTAATGTAGCTAGTAGTAAAAATTCTTTATTTTTATTTTTAAGCGAGCAGTGATCAACTTTTGGTCTGTTTTGTAATGAAATACTGACAAGTATTTTTGAGTTTTCTGTTTTGTGTCCTCCTTGCTGAAGTCCATTATGCGAGAGAAGACAAGACTAGACTTTTGGAAACACACTCATCAGACAAACCTTGGAAATGCTTCCACTTGACGCCTGTTTTGCCCGGTCGTGGTACCGATACTACGGCTCACAATTAAATTTTACAAAATAGCTTTGAATTTAAGTTAACACAACATGTATATCATTAGGTGTATGCGGTCAGATCATACCATGGAACTTCCCACTGCTGATGGCATCTTGGAAGCTGGGTCCTGCGCTGGCCACCGGAAATACTATAATCCTCAAGCCAGCGGAGCAGACACCGCTCACCGCGTTGTATCTCGCTCAGCTCGTAAAGGTAACAAGCGCGTGGTCCCCACGTATACTCCCCGTTGATACACCTTATGCTAATAGTTAAACCTTTATAGTAAATCTATTATTCTACCTAGAGTGATTCCCATACTTTTTTTCGTAGAATCCTTTCTCAATTTTTAAACGACTTCCAAAAGGAGGAGGTTCTTAATTCGTCTGTATGTTTTTTTTACTAATTTCGACTCCCCTAATAATACATTTTTTTGTCTCATTGGTCCTCCTCACTCTCCTCACCCTCGCCAGGTCTCTGAGACACTTTGGCAATAATTGTCCAAGTCCATTTTATTACATAAGTATTTTGTGCAAAAAAAATGGCGATCATTCATCAAAAGTATGTTCATTATCGGCTTTAACATAATTGTAATTATCTAATCTGAGTCATATTTGAAAACAAGGTTATCTTGTGTCATGATAATATTGTTCTGCCAAATTCGTGATTTTATAAACAACCTGTAGATATATATCGTTATCTCTGTCTTGCTAAAGGCAATGAGTAGGATAGCAATATTTTGTACATTATAGGAAGCAGGTTTCCCCGAGGGTGTAGTTAATGTGCTGCCAGGATTCGGAGATGCCGGAGCCGCACTTGTGCAGCATCCTGATGTCGACAAGATTGCCTTTACTGGTGAGATAATAACACTTAATGTAAAAAAAAAAAACAAAAAAAATCTTTTTAGCAATAATTAAGATTCGATAGTCGCCTATTGGAAGTCTATTTTAATTATTTCTTGCAAAACTATTTACTAACCTTAACTATATTAAAGATTAGTTGCAAAAAACAATCCTTTTACAATCCAGGGTCTACGGAAGTTGGCAAATCGATCCAACGTGGTGTTGCTGACACCATCAAACGTGTGACATTAGAATTAGGTGGGAAATCTCCTAACATAATCCTAGCTGATGCCGACCTGGAGTACGCGGTGGACAAGGCACATATGGCTGTGTTTTATAATATGGGACAATGTTGCTGCGCTGGTAAGCAATCTACTTAGTCTACGTGTAAAAAGGTGTTATGGTCTTACGATGATCTTTCAAAATCACAGCTCTATTCTTATAACTTGGTAGTCTATGTGTTCTTGCAGACTATGTTCTATATCTATGCTAAATTTCAGCAAAATCTATGTAGCCGTCCTAGAGATACCTTTAAACAAATAATCATCTATCCGTCCATCCATCTAGACATTCGAAGATTGTCAATTTTTCTTAATAATTATGTAAAATTGCAAATTTAATTTTTCAGGTTCACGTACATTTGTCGAAGAATCCATATACGATAAATTCGTGGAAATGTCAGCGGAGCGAGCCAAAAAGAGGGTAGTCGGAGATCCTTTCAATCTAGCCACAGAACAGGGTCCTCAAGTTGACAAGGAACAGCACCAGCAAATCCTACGTCTAATAGAAAGCGGGAAAAGTCAGGGTGCGAAGTTAGTCACGGGTGGGGGTCGTGCTGGAAGCGTCGGCCATTTTATACAACCAACTGTATTTAGCGATGTGAAAGATGAGATGGATATAGCACGCTATGAGATATTTGGCCCGGTGCAGCAAATTATGAAGTTCTCCAAAATGGATGAACTTATCCAACGCGCTAATGACACGCATTACGGTCTAGCCGCTGCCATATTCTCTAAGGATTTGGACAAAACCAATTATCTTATACAGGTAATCATTTTTTAATAGTAAAACCTATTAGAAGCCTTCTAATAGGTTTTTTTTAATTCACATGCTTAGTTCATTGATTTTTTTTAAATTTAAGGTTTTAACAATTTTGAATGATAATTTTCTTTTACCAGGGTCTACGTGCAGGTACGATCTGGGTGAATGACTACAATGTATTCGGTAACCAAGTACCGTTCGGAGGCTACAAGCAGTCAGGCCTTGGCAGAGAGAACGGACCCTACGGCATCAACAACTACACAGAGGTCAAAGCTGTAGTCGTCAAGGTCACTGAGAAGAACTCATAAATATCTAAAACTGCGTGTAACTCTTAACATTGTCGTGGTGCTTTCCTTACCACGACAAGAAATAATGATAGTTATTAATACTCAGTTCCCACGGCATTTATTTTTAAATAATAAGTGTACTGAAGTCTACAAAAATACTTATAATTATTACGTACAATATGTCTTCCATGTTGATAAGAATAAAGCTGAATAAAGCCAATGTTCAAAAAGTGCATTATATTAAATATATTCGCACAATATGTTTACTTTTATGAAATATATAAATTAGTAAAAAAAATATTGTGTTTAATAACCTTTCCCCATAATAATTTAATATATAATTACTGGTACTGGCGATTACTTTAAAAGAGGTCGATCCAAAGACAAATAAAAATCTATCTCTTAAAAGCTTGTACACAACTTGCCGAGGCTTTTACTCCCAGGCTATTATTATTCAATGAATTTAACAATTGCTTAAAATTGCAAAAAAAACATTTTAGCTTTTCGAATATACCGCTTTTTATAGTTTATACTTCCACAATCTATTGTAGTTTAGTTAATCTGTGGTCGACCCGTCAACGTCAAATTTCGACTAATGTTAGTCCAATTGTCAATTTGGCTTGTAAATTTAAATATTGTTGAGTAAAAGATTTAAGATATATCTTATTGTTTTAATTGCGGTATAACCTGGAAAAGAATCTCAAGGAACTTATTATATAATGGCACCGAAGTTGAAGTTCGCAGAGGGTGTGTAATAAATATTAAATAACATAATGCAAATGTTTCTCGAATAATTCTGTACTGCATTTATGTTACCCAAATATTTAACGTAAATTATTTTGCAGGTGAAAAGGTGTTATGTTTTCACGGTCCCCTTATTTACGAGGCAAAATGTCTCAAAAGTTCTGTGACGAAAGACAAACATGTTCGATATTTAATTCATTACGCTGGCTGGAATAAAAAGTGAGTGAAGACCATACAGTTTATTCAAGAACGATTTCTTTACATGGTTGGCTTTTATAATATCAATCAGTTGTAATAAAAATGGTCTATTTGACTAATAAAATATTTTTTCTGTTATTATGCGTTAGGCGGGAAAAGTGACAAAGTTTAGGTTAAAATTAAGGAAAATGATTTTATTCTAATGATTACCTCTCTCGATCACATTGTTTCTAATATTTATCATTTTAAAAAATATTGTGCATACTATTTTAATTACATTGAATTTGTAGTCTGGTACAATAAATTTTCTATTATAACCTCTCAAATGTGTCATGGGAGTTTTTCTATATATTTTTTTAAATTAGGTATTTAACATTTCAGTTGGGATGAATGGGTTCCAGAGAGTCGAGTTCTAAAATATAATGAAGCAAATGTTCAGAGACAGAAGGAAGTGCAAAGAGCGCACTCTGTACAGCCTGTTAAAAGCAAAAAATGTAAGACTATTAAGTTTAATATAAACTCACCATTATAGATCTGTTGTAATCTATATTCTATACATATATTATAAAAAGGAAAGTTTTGATTGTTTGCATTGAATAGGCTTTGAAACTACTTAACCAATTTAAAAAGTTTTTTCATTGTTGGGAAGCTACACTATCCCTGGGTAACAAAGGCTATATTAATCAGATTTTTAAAATCCACCCAGACAAAGTTGTGGGCAAATACTAGTAGAAAATAAGGTTAAAACATACCATGAAATATATAATAGTTAAAACTTGAAGTTAAGTTTGCTTGCTTCGGTTAAGAAAAACATGTTTAATATGCCTAATAACCTGCTTCTTTTTAAAGTCAGCTAAAAATAGGATATTATAAAGTTTTTTTTATTTCTACAGCTACAGCTAAAGGTCGTAAGTCAGAGACTGCGGCCAATACAACTCCAGCAAGAGAAGAATCCAGAGCATCAACACCTGCTGGTGAGCAAGTGCTTTTTTAGTTATAATAGTAATACAAGTACACGGAAGACAGCCATAAAATGGAAGTATTTCTGCCTTTTGTGTGATGTGTATGCATTCCAAAAGCCTAATTTTAGTCATCTTTCCTTGCTACCCTTTACTTATAAGGAAAGGATGGGAAGGGAATTGCATTTGACAGAGGAGATGCATATGAATGGGAAATATTTTGTTACTATGCATCCCCTCTAATGTAAAACCCTTAACTATGTCTAATAAAGCTATGTCTTTGTTATCTAGACATAGTTTTGTGATAGTTATTTTTTACTGTTACAGGAAAAGACACAGAGACTACTCCAGCGCCAGCAAAAGCTACGAAAACACAGAGTAAAGACACCGCTGTTGATTCCGGATCAGATCAACCTAAGTAAGTTTCTAAGCCAATATTCATAAATTAAGCCAAGAAATAAATTGGTCAATAAATGATGATAACTTCCTTTTACCAACAAGTTTGTCTTTGTGGGATTAAAAAATACTTTATAAGAAGCTGTTCTACATCTTTTGTGTTCTGCAAATTTTTATAAAGATCCGTTGAGCCTTTCCGGTGATACATTCTAATACGTTCAACCATCCATCCATCTAAACTTTCGTATTTATAATATTAGTAAGATTAGTAAGTTATGTAAACATTTTCTTAGTTTTCTTATTTTCTACGGCTAAGCCTTAAAATTTTAATTACACACTTCATGAATCTGTAAATAATGTCTTGATTTTTTTTTTAGGAAAAAACGTGGACGTCTCGATCAATCTATCGAGTCAGAAGAACAGTATCTAGCGAAAGTTGAAGTTAAGATAAAAATACCTGAAGAATTAAAAGTATGGCTCGTTGATGACTGGGATGTGATAACAAGACAGCAAAAATTAGCCATCCTACCCGCAAAGTTGACAGTCACACAAATATTAGACAATTACTTAGCATTTAAAAAATCAAGTAAATCACATAATACAGCGAAACATTCAGTATTAGTAGAAATAACTGAAGGTATTAAGGAATATTTCAATGCTACCCTCGGTTCACAATTACTATATAAATTTGAACGGCCACAATATAGTGAAATATTACAAGAATATCCAGATACTCCGATGTCGCAAATATATGGTTCAATACATTTATTAAGATTGTTCGTTAAAATGGGACCCATGTTAGCGTACACAGCAACAGATGAGAAGTCTTTACAATTGGTTCTAAGTCATATTCATGAATTATTAAAATATATGGTAACCAATAGATCCACTCTGTTCAATTTGCAAGACTATTGTAATGCTACTCCAGAATATCATAGAAAGGTTCAGTGACTATTTGGGAAAATGTTTAATTGAATTATATTGACTATCGCCTGGTTTTTTAAATATCAATTTTAATTATGTATATAACTAGCGGTTGCCTTCAGCGGAGAATAGAATGAGTAACCTATTACTGTGTTCGCGTGCGTCAGTTTTCGTCAAAATCAGTTCAGCCGTTCCGGAGATTACAGTAAGACAAAAATCTTAAAAATTGGTTTCTCATTATCAGCAATGATTTAATCATACATTGCTTTAGTAATTAAAGTTTTTTAAAATTTAGTACTCAAATAAAAGATCAGATTGAAGATTGGCTAAATTCTTAGTGTTCCCGCTAGTTTTGCCCCAACTCTTTTAAAAAATTGACTATTTCAAAAACCAGGTGCAAATCTGTTTTATTTGAATCGTTTAAGACTGTTTCCTGAAGCAATGCCTGCACAGCATTGTCAAAGAAATATAAAACTGATTATTTTCTGAAAGATGTCATTTAAGATACTGAATATGTTATATATTGTTATACAGGAGTCAACCTGCTAATATACTATCACGACAGTGGAAACATGTAATAAAAACTAACGTGTAATTAATTTTAAATTAAGTAAGAACGCGGAAATAGTTAAAGCATTGTAATTTAGTATTTTTTTTATTTGTGGAGCGCATTTTCCTGGATGTTAATGTGTTATAAACAGAAGATAAACTAAATTGGGAGTTTATTATATTATTATAGATATTAAATGTGTCGAAATATCATCATATTGTAATACATTAAAATATTCCGATTAATATTGCCTGACTTAACCTTTTGTATTATTTTAATCTTTATACTTAAGGTATAGGTAAGTAGTAAGGTAAGGTAGCAACGTTTTTCCTTTTTATTTATATTGTGTGATAATGAAATAAAATCATAAAACTACGCCTAATAATAAATAATAGTTTACTATAACGAAACTTAGTCTTAAAATGTTTTTCTCATGTTACAAATATCACCTGCGTTTATTTAAATGTTGCACGTTAATAAACGATTTTAAAAATAACAATTTTTTTTTGTGCATTTTAAAATGTTTGCAGACTGGCATGTAATAATTCAAAGTCCTTTAAATAACGGTTTTTAAAGAAAAACAAGCATTAAAATTAGTTATCTTTTGCATTGTAGTAAAAGAAATAATAGCAAAGCTTTTTTTTGCATTTTTTTTCTCGAAATGTCACAAAATTAGTGATAATAAAATAACGTCATCTATCGTTATATCTGGGCAACCATTTACTAAAACCTAACAATAGATGTCGCTGTTTACCAAGATGTCTGGAGGCTTGATTAATTTGCCGCCAACCACCAGGTAACAATAAAATAAAGAGAAATGCGTAACCGTGTCATATTAATTAAGATTCTTGTTTAAACAAAACCCATGAGTAAATGTACTTGTTTTTTTGTTAATTAATCTTGGAACCTGTACACGACACTAATGAGGTAAAGCGAGTTGACGAAATATATTCAGTAATCACTTTTTATAATTTCGACACGTATTACAATTGCTAAAATAAATTGTTAAAAGTCACCCGTTTTCATAGTCATCAATAAAATGTTTACAACCAACCAATATATGTTTAAATGAATAGAATAATCGTAAATAGTGAATTTATAGCACAATTTTTACAAATCTTATTTTTCATGCTTTTAAATAATCTCTTAAAATGCTACAAGTAAATTTATAAATACGTAATATGTAACTATAATTATAAACAGAGAATACGGATTTTAGATACCTTAAAATTCTAAAATTAAGATGAACACGCCAGCTGAACGGACGCAGATAAGTTCGGTGGTCATTGCGCTTTGGATTTAGCGTTTTGACCTTATTACAGGGTGAACGATCGCTACAGCCTACAAGCCTTCAAAGATAACTAAGCTGATGAAATACCGCGGTAGTTAAATTTGACATTATAATCTTTAGAAATGAACTACAGATTCCATAAACCCTTCGCCACTTAGTAATATAAGATTAAAAAAACTGGCAGCAGCCATGCGAATTGCTTACTATCCAAAAATAGCTTCAAATCAGACTATGTAGTTGGTATATTGTTATCGATGGAAAGTACCTCAAGGTCAAATAACATATGGTCCGTTAACACGAATGCTTAAGAGGCAAACTGGAGCCTCATATCTCACTCCAGACGTGATAGTAATGAACACAATTGTGCTATAATAAAGAAATTCGAATGATCGCTTTCAATGCAGCTACTGTGACTATGATTTTGGTTTTGCATGGACAAGATTTTTTAAAAGGAGTTGTTTAAATCACAGTTACCATGGTTTTCTCACAACTCAATCTCTGTATAAAAATATATCTCCATCGCCGTCTTTTATTTTTGACACAATATAGATAGCAATATGTTTTAACTGACTCAGAAACCGACGTTAAGACGAATAAGTAGAGTCGCTTCTTTTTGGTGATTGCTTACTAACTACTACAATGGGTACTCGGAAATGTCCTGGTTGGGGAACGCAGATTTTTGTTGTTTAAGAAAGTCGTCCAACCACAACGCAAACTCTATATAACTTTAGCAATGTCAACGTCTCATGATATTAAAATAATTGATTTCTTACATAAAGGATTATTGACTATTTCCTAACTATGGTAGTATTTTAGAGTTTGACTTATTTATACTATCACTCGTGTCATTTTATAATTTTCCCTGTCCTGTATATTTTGACGTGAAAATGGCAACACTATTTACATTGTTGAAGCGTTATCAGGGTCTGCGAGCGCCTTAAATGGCAAGGAATATCGCGAGGCCGGCGGCGAGACGGCGACTGTGTTACCTGGCGATTGCGAAAACCCGAGGTCTCTGGACATCTGGGACTTGGATTGCAGATACACAACTATAGTATTGATTCGGACTAATGTCATTCTCTTAATTACTAATATTAGCGAAAGTTTAGATGATTAGATGGATGTTTGTTAACAGTTATCTCCAGAATGACTGAATAGATCTGGCTGAAATTTGGTATAGATGTAGAACATAGTCTGGAAGAATAAATAGGCTACAAATAACTAAATTGCTTTACAGTTAGTATTGTTTATTCTATTGATGTAGAAAGTTATATGTCTGGATAAAAAAGACAGTTAAAGTTCAACAAATTCTAAGTTCTGAAAATCTTTTGGTGGAAAATTGTCAATATTATTTACATATATTCCATGTCACTTCATAGCTTTTTAATAGGGTGTTGTCGAGATGAAATATTTAGATCGAATGTTGACACCTTTTGTCTCTAAGATAGTTTTTTATTAAGACGAAATTTTAACATGCCTGTTGTATCGTACGTCGGAATTAGGACGATTTAACTTTCCTCCGTCTTCAATGACGTACCACAGAACAAGCTATTTAAAACACACGCGTCTGCGACGCGCTAAAATAGCTTCTCTTCGTTTATCCTTGGTCTGTTTCGATACGTTAGGAATAATGGCATCTGATAACCGGATATTTAAACTTATTTGCACCATACTTTATTGATTAAAAACATTTTATTTAATACTTAGGCTTACTGTTATCTGTAGGAAATTGAAAACGAATTACAATCAATGGTGATTAAATTATATTAATAACTAGCGGACGACCGCGACACCGTCCGCACAGAATTAGAAAAAACATAATAAGTGGCTTGCATGTTCTTCCAGACTATGTTCTATATGTATGCCAAATTTCATCGAGATCCGTTCAGCCGTTCTGGAGATACCTTCAAACAAACATCCATCCATCTAAACATTTATAATATTAGTAAGAAAATAAAATATTAAACTATTAAAATTATTTTTTAGTATCGATTACTTTATTATGCTTAATATAATTTAGAAATCATTAATTTTTAATTAAAGAACTAAATAAAGCACGCGTATTTAAAAACTTACAAACGTCAAACCATCGTTAGGAATTTTCAACACAGATAAAAAATTAGTTGATTAATTCTTAAAATGTCGTTTACAAATTGACGTTCAATTAAAGTAATTCACATGATATAATCTTATACAATAGAAAATGTAATTATTCAAATTATTGCGATACAAAGAAAAATGAGTCAATTGAAGATTCTTAAAATTATTTAACTTTCATAATGAATCATCGATTTACGTTTTAAAATACCGGAACGAATGCGTGTCGTGAAAAGAATTTGGTTACCTTCTTCTTTTGTATATTGATTTTTTAAATTACAATCCTTACGAAGTAATGATTCTTCATGAAGATTTTCGAATGATATTTGCATAATGTAAACAGTGTGAATTCAATGTTTGAAATACATTAATTTATTACGTTTTAACATTTATCTTGTTTTTTGTTCACGCATTTACACATGTTATTGTATGTACATACATCTCACAATAAGTTTAAAATTGTGTTCCGAAGCGTGTTTTAAATTGATTATTTTCCTAAAGTACAAATATTTTGTATTATATTTATAAGTAACATTGTAATAACGGAGTTTTGTAGTATTAACTAGTTTCAATGATATGCAAATAGTTTTTTGTATCAAGGTTCGTTTGGAATTATAGAACCTTGTAAAGAATTATCTAAATGGCATTTTTAATTCCAATACACTCATAGTCTAATTATTTAAAGTACAAAACACAAGGTCAGACAATTCTTTATACATTTTAGTCATATTAAAATGTTATTTTTTTTAAAGAAAATGAGGGCAAACGAGCAGCGGGACATCTTCAATACCAAAAGAACGCATCTGCGTTGCCGGCCTTTGAAATAGTGATACGCTCATTTCTTGAAGGACCCTAAGTCGTAGCGGTTTGAAAATTTCGCGAAAACCGCACAGTTGTGAATTGCCAGTCATAGAGATGGTGTGGATGGAACCTGGCGGTCTGTCGTGTCCGTTGACGGAACTCGACGGCAGGAATTATTCCAAACAATTCTTCAGAGCACTCCCCGTAGTAACTAACGCCCCTCCGCATTTTTGCTTAGAAAAATCATTACCATTTTCGTTTACAATAGTTTTCTTTAACGATAGTTAAAGATGCAAAACAATGCATTTTATAACTACAATTTAATGTAGAAAACAAATACGGAAAGATATCAATAATGATATCAAGACATGAATATTTTATACGTCAGTAATACAATGTTCCGATCCAGGAAGAATTTACTGCAACGTCGCTTTTCTGCGTTGATACAACTATATTAGGTGCGAGACCTAGAGAATAAACTTAGAAACATCTGTTCGTCTGTAACCAAGCGATAGTAAATACCGTCCGTTTGTAATTTGTCTAAGGAGAAACGGCAAATTGCCGAATTATAACGGCAATTTATCGGTCAAATTACAAACAGGTGGAATTTGCGATCTATCGGTGATATTTTTATACAAACTTCTTTGGCGAATGTCTATCGTTGTCTACACATATTCTCGTCCGTATGTCAAGGTGTTCGAAGGACCTCAAACCATCTGGGTCAATTATTTACTTATAATGTCACGTACTCAGCTGACTCATAGCTTGTATTGACTTAATGTTTAAAATATAGAGTTTCGAGTAATACGCGTCAGTTAACCGCAAAAAATAGCTTAAAAATTGTTTATGGAAATATAATTCATACTTAGTCTAAAGGTGATGTAGGCTCAATGAAATGGTATTATAATTATTGTCGTTTTGTTGTAACGTTTAAAAAAACTTTAAAAGTACGAGAAAGAATGCGCTGATAGATTTACTAGGATCGCGGTAAATAGAAATCTATAACCTCTGCTTACCCTTCTTTAAACCTAATACGATGTAGTAATGTATATATTAGATAGTTTTTTATAAAAATGGATATGGCAACCTTTACAAAAAGTATTAAAAATATTAACAACTATAAGAAAATTCGAATAAATAATAAAAAAAGACAGAGCCAGGACTTAGGTTATTAAAATACTTAA